TATTCAATAGATATATAATGATGACGAGTTACAGGTAGACACTTTGAGACACTTATTACCCCATTTCCTGTAGCAGTCGTAAGAGGCCGTTAGGTATCTAATAGATGGTGGTATATGGTTCATTGCATATGCCGAATAGACCCAGATCATATTGGAGGTAACGGTAAAGATTCAAGTTTTATATGTGGTAGAGCCATGATGCAGTTATATTAGAAGTATAGTTGTAGCACGAATGGGTCGGCTCGACCGGGGAAGGACTACACTCTCACAGAATACCTACATGAAATAGCAGCTTAACGCTACTGTTTTTCGTATGGTAAGTGTAGAGCACCAGAGACCCTTTTTACTGGAAACGAGGCATTCCATCTTAGTCCTCACGGGTTTTTTTTTTATAGAAGAAGGGGCAAACGAGCATGCGGCTCACCTGATGTTAAGTGACTACCGCCGCCCATGATCAACCGCAACACCAGGAGAATTGCGGGTGCGTTGCCGGCCCTTTAGAAAGGAGTAAGCTCTTTTCTTGAAGGTCCCCAGGTCGTATCGGTCCGGAAAAATCGCCGGTGGTAAACTATTCCACAGAGAGGTTGTACGTGGAAGAAAACTTCTTGTGAAACGTACAGTGGTGGACCGCCAAGCATCCAGATGGTGTGGATGGTATCGGGACGTTTGACGTGTAGTGCGTTCACGAAATTTGGCGGCTGGGATTAATCTGAACAATTCCTCAGAACACTCCCCGTGATAGATGCGATAAAATACGCAAAGAGATGCAACATCTCTTCGCAGCGCCAGTGAATCGAGCCGATCGGAAAGCACTCGGTCGTCGACGATTCGAGCCGCTCTGCGCTGGATGCGGTCAAGTGGAAGAAGCTGGTACTGGGGAGCCCCAGCCCAGAGATGGGAACAGTATTCCATGTGCGGCCGAACCTGCGCCTTGTAAAGTCGCAGGCGGTGTGCCGGCATGAAATACTGTCCCGCTCTGCTGAGCACGCCAACCTTTTTATAGGCCAATTTGGCCTTCCCTTCCAAGTGACCACGAAACTGCACGTCACTCGATATGTCCACGCCGAGGATTCCGATACTGGCTGAGGCAACAAGGGGAGTGCCTTGAAACTGAGGGGATACGACAAAGGGGTTCTTTTTAGCGGTTAACGCGCAAACTTGTGCCTTCTGGGGGTTAAACTGGACTAGATTTAGTCGCCCCCAATCCGAGACTCTGTCCAGCAGAGACTCGACTTCAGACACAAGTTTGTCCCGGCACTCGGAGACGTTTTCCCGAGAAATATTGGCTCGGCCGGTGTAAAGAGCATCACCAGTGCTGTCATCTGCATAGCAATGAATGTTACGGGTATGCAACATGTCACTGATATGCAGAAGAAACAGCGTTGGCGATAGCACGCAGCCCTGTGGAACACCAGCATTAATAGGCTTGCAATCGGAGCTTGCACCGTCTACAACGACCTTGATGCTCCGATCTGCAAGAAAGCTGGTGATCCAATCGCACAATTTCTCGGGAAGCCCATAGGAAGGGAGCTTCGAAAGAAGCGCTTTGTACCAAACCCGATCGAAGGCCTTCGCAATGTCCAAACTAACGGCCAATGCCTCCCCCTTGAACTCTACTGCCTCCGCCCATCTGTGAGTTAGGTAGACCAGAAGATCACCAGCTGACCGACCACGGCGAAAACCGTATTGGCGGTCACTAATCAGCTGGTGATCTTCAAGGTACCTCATGAGCTGGCAGTTTACAATGGACTCCATTGTTTTGGAGAACAAGGAGGTGATGGCGATTGGCCGGAATGGGACGGGTCAGAGCGGTCGCCTTTTTTAGGGATCGGGTGGACGTAAGCCGTCTTCCATGATTTTGGGACTACGCCTAGGGAGTAGGAGTACCGGAAAAGACGCGTTAAAACCGGTGCCAACTCTGGAGCACACGTCCTCAGCACAATTGGGGGGATTCCGTCAGGCCCACTCGACTTGTGGATGTCCAGGGAGAGGAGTGCTTTGCGAACCGAGCGCTGTGTGAAGTACACTTCCGGCATGGAGCACCTACACCGCGGGATGGTCGGCGGAATACTCCCCCCGTCATCGAGAGTCGAGTTAGACGCAAAGAAAGAGCCTAGAAGATCGGCTTTCTCCTTTGCGGTATGGGCCAGTGAGTCGTCCTCCCTGTGCAGAGATGGAAGAGATGGCTGACAGAAATTCCCCTGGACAGCCTTGGCGAGAGACCAGAATGCACGGGTTCCAGAAGGAAGGCGAACTAGTTTCTCGCCAATTCTGCCTATGTGCTCTGACTTTGCCTTGGCAATGACTCTTTTGAAGGACCTGGAGGCGGAATTATACTTCTTTTTTAGAGCGCTGGTGTTTACATCCCGGGACGCTGATGCATCAGCCCAGGCTTGGTAGCACTCCTGCTTATAGCATGATGCTATTTTACAGGAGCGACCAAACCATGGCTGAGACTTGCTTCCAATGGGCACCACAGAGGAAGGATTAAAAAGTTCCATACCCTGAAGTACCACATCAGCAACAGAATCCGCAACAACGTTGGGATCATCCGACGAGAAGCAAACTCTCCCCCAAGGGTAGGATGCAAAGAAAGACCGCATCCCATCCCAATCGGCTGACCTATAGTGCCAAACACGCCCAACCGACCAGACAATGGTCCGAGGAGCCTAAAGGGGCGTCGACGGAAATCTGATATCCGTCCGGGTGAGAGGTCAGCAGAAGGTCCAACAGGGAAGGTGCATGATCCTCCACATCTGGAATCCGCGTAGGCGAAGTAACCAGTTGTGTCAGACCATATGCCAAGGCAAAATCATGAACAGATCTCCCCGCTTGATCGGTTAAACGTGAACCAAGCCATTCGGCGTGATGGGCGTTAAAGTCGCCGAGGATCACGATCTCTGCGGAGGGGATCTGCTGTAGCAACGAATCTGCAGCCATTTGGACGTGGTCGAATAGTCGGTCTGTTTCGGCATTACCGCTATGGGACCTATAGAGGCACCCGTAGACGCGCGGATGGTCGTCGCTGTCTACGCGTAGCCAAAGGATGGACAGGTCCGAACCTTCAAGTCTGCAGCAGATGTCCTCTCTGACGTAAACGCAAACTCCAGCCCGAGGCACAAAGGAGTGTTCCAGTTTGTACCCCGGGTAGGAGAGATACGAGACATCAGCCGGAGAGGACACCTGCGTCTCGGTCAGAAAGAGCAGAGCCGGCCTCGCCGTGAGATGGTTGAGGGAAGAAAACGTGGCAGGGGTTGCCTTGGTCTTGTTGCTCCGTTTGCCCCGAGCAGTTTTAGTCTTGAGCGGAATTTTGCCCCCCCCCCCCCCAGAATACGCGGGGCAGCCTGAGCACCCAGGCTCAGAAGTGGAGAAACATGGTCGTGGATGCTCAGCGAGGGATTCTCCAGGGGTGCTGGTACCCTCCTGGGGTAGTCTATCATTATTTAATTCCGCTACCATGTTGATGGGGGGGGGGATTTAGGCCTCCGGCCACCTGCACTCACCAGACGAAACGCGGAAGCAGAGCTTCCACTTCACGCCGGTATTCTGTGAGGTCGTGGTACCACCCCGGTTTGAGCCGGCCCATACGTGCAACAGCAAAGCTGCCGCGTGGCTCTACCACTGTTAAACAACACATCTGCATTTTGATCTGTAATCAAGAATAGATGTAGATGTCTATGGGCCGCAGCAATCACTTACCATCAGGTGGACTGTGTGCTCGTTTGTCACCCTATACTATAAAAAAAAGTCATCTGTTATTGTGATTAGCAATTCGACTTCCAAGACACAGAAACTTTTTGTATTCAATATAGATTGTAAATTATACTTATTGAAAGTCACATTTTTAAATATACCATTGATTCGAAAAAAATCTCTGTCCTGGAAGAACCAGCAAGTCATCCAGTGGGGCATTTTATTAAAAATAACAGCTTACAATCATGTATATTACAATTTACAACACGGAACAAATTAGAAATTTGGTAGCAATCACCTTTCCTAGGGGTTATTACCATCTATAAATTCCTTAATATTATAATAACCCCTTTTTTTAACGAACTTAGCGTGCCAACAAGCGTAGCGATTACGGAAAATCTTTCCGAAATTGGAAGATGTTTTTGATTTGTTTGAGATTTAATGACTTTTCCATATATCAGATATTTTTTGTAGATGCAAAGCGACTTGCACCTAATAAAAAGTAAAAGTACAACTTGTAGTGGTGACGTAGAGGCGACAGAGGGAAGCCGATCAGGAGATGGGTAGCAGTGTCTTCCTAATAACTATTACGATATTAGAAATACTTATTACGGTTGAAAAACTCGCTTCGTGGCAACTATGGAATATCCCGCCTATGCTTTATGTTCAGCAGTGGAGTTTAGTAGGCTAACGGTAACTGCAAAAAGTAGAAGTCGACCTTAAAATAAATAAAAACAATAAGATAAGTTACATTCTATAATCAGTGATAAGACATAGTGCATTTTATTTATAAAAAAATACATATTTTATTAAATTATTTTAAACTGAGTACATAATTCTTTGAAATCAGAATATTAGACTTTTTATTTTTTTTTCCTTTTTGAGTAGAATAAGCAATATCACAATGATAATGTGGTCTAAATAGATGGTAACTTCATCAAATATTTCACCACCTTTAGAATGGAATTTTTGCCCCAAATTTACATGGGAGCATCCCCTAAAGTATACGAAAAGATATAGATATAGATAAATATAAATAATAGAAAGTTATAGATAAAGATAACTTACATAAAAAATTGGTTAAAAATTATTACGATTTATTCCTTAAGGAGGCCGATGTTAAATAACGGACTAGTGGAGGGATGTAGTGATAAATGATGAATGTACAAAATAACTATAAAGGCCTGGCCTTCCATTTTCTATTTGTCCAGTGTAGTATAAGTAGGGACTGCCTGAAATTTCTTAGAGTGCATAAAATAACTCGTTGAAATTTGCCAGCAGCTCTCTTACTATTCTAAATGTTAAGTTTACGGAGACATAGGTTCAGTCTTAATCTCATATAAAACGTCCGGTGGCTCAACTTTGATGTCATTAGTAGTGCTCTCCGGTTCCATGATCTCTGTGGATTGGGCGTTGTGAGTTACTTCACTATCACTCATTTCTGTAGTGCAAAGCTCACTTAAAATCAATTCACTTTTACAACCACTTAAATTGGCGAGTTTATACCTCAAAATGGAGTATTCCAATGCATTGTAAGATGAGAAGCATGTTTCGCATTTGAATATGATAGATTCTCTCAAATGCTTCAGCTCTTGGTACACATTAAAGTGGAATTCGTCGTTGAAACTTTTGATGCAGTCTTCACATTCAACATTGGTCTCCCTCAACCGCCAACCGGAGGCAGCTAATTCGTCAACATCGAATTCTTCGTGGAACTTCTTTATGTGACGCTTTAGTGTTTTCCTGGTGCTGAAATCCTTTGTGCATATGACACAACGCGGCAAAACTTTACGCTTTACCTTCTGTACTAAATTTACATGTGACAATTGATTATGTTGTTCGAATTTTTCTTGGCCTTTGAAAACCAGATTGCATACTTCGCATTTATAGATTTCGTCTTCTGCTAAATGGTTGGTTTGTAGATGAATATTAAGTGCGTCGACAGAATTGAACGACACTGAGCACAGATCGCAAGGATGCGTGTTCATATTGAACGAATGGAGTAATTTGAGATGTATCTTGCAAGATTTAGCAGATTCAAAACGCTTTTGACAAATGTGACATTGAGGGAAAGACGTGGAATCGGGATGTTTAATTCTAACATGCTTTCTTAGGCTTCTCTTCTCCTTGAATAAAGTCTCACATTCGATACACTTATATCTTTGCATTCCCAGATGAGTATACTCTATATGGCGTCGGATGTTTCTTTTAGACTTGAACTGCTTGTCACAATAGTCGCATTTGGACCAAGTGTCGTTGTTGTGCACTATTTTGATGTGCGATGCTAGGTAATATTTATTACTGCAGACTTTCCTGCAAAAACCACATTCCATGGCCTCGTCGGTAGTGTGCTTTAGTTTGACGTGATGTTTTAAAGACCTATCACTGTAGTAAATACGATCACAGTGGGCACATTTGTAAGAACCGAGTTCTATTGAGGTTTCATCAATGTTACTGGAGGAAATTACAGAATCGGCAATGTGAGCTTGAGGATGAAAAATTCTCACATGAAATTCAAGACTGGAGATATCGGTGAAAAGTTTATCGCAGTGGCTGCAAGTATTTACGTTAGGTGGTGGCAGACAGATTTTCTTATGCTCCACCATACTTTCTCTACTATAGAACTTGCTGAAGCAAACATTACAGTTCGAGATGCTGTACTCTTTGCCATGATTGATTCTCATATGATCCTTTAATTCGTAAATGCTGGGGAAAGCATTTCTGCAGAATTCGCAATTATAAAAATTATTCCTATACGTTTCCATGGTCTCTTTCATTAATTTGAGAAGAGATTTTTTACAATATCTATAGAAGTCTTGAAAAGAATGTTCCGTTTTCACATGGCGGCGCAGAAGAGGTTCCTCTTTAAACGTTTTGTTGCATTTGCTACATATGAATGATCTAGAGTTTGATCGAAAATCAAAAGCTTCATATTGATTTGAACTGTAAATGCTTTTCCTGTGGTAGAAAGTGACGTGATTGTTGAAATTCTCTTTTCCGACTATCGTTTTGTTGCAGAAATCACACTTGTATTGAGTCCAATGTTCAGGATTGTGCCTAGTCTTCGTATGCCTCCTCAAGCTCTGATTAGACGTATAGACTTTAGGGCAAACATTACAGCGGAATTCTCCTCTCTCACCGTGAAACATTTCGACATGCCTTTTCAAATTGCGATTATTTGTGTAAACTTTTTCACAGAGATGGCACTTGATTAATCCCTTCTCAGTAACATTATGGGTAGATTGAATGTGGGCTATCAGGGAGTGTTTACCCTTGAAAACTTTATTACAGTTGTCGCAAGTGGGGTACTCTAAATGGGGATTGTGTAATTGATTCAGATGCCTCTTTAAATTCCTTTCTGTGGTGAACGTTTTGTCGCAGAATTTGCATCTGATATCTGGTCGTACGCCTTGCAAATGTACTGTTATCATATGTGAGGTAATGTTTTGTTTCCTCGTGAATATTCGACCACACAGATCGCATTCTGGGAATGGTTGGCCATATCTGTTGTGGCCTCTGGAGAGATGCAACTGTAGTCCGGCCGGTGTGCCAAACCTCTGGTCGCATATATCACAGTAGCATGAGGAGTTCATGTGATAGTTTTCAATATGAGTCTGCAAATTGTATTTCCGGGTGAAGGTTCGGCTACAGTAGTCGCACACATAGTCCAATTGATTGTGAAACATTGCAGTTTCCTGAAAATAATAAATACAATTTTATTCTGTTTCTTCATCATCATTGACCCATGAAAGTCTACTACTGGGCATGGGCCTGTGCCGTAGAGAGGATTTGCCTCAATCATCACGCTTTTCAGGCGGATTGATAGTACCAGACATCACATTTTTTACTGTGATGTCTGGTACTATCAATACTTACGCTTACTGTCGCCGCTTGGCGTAAACGTGTTGGTTATACCGCCATATAACTAAAGTTCTAAGATCTTTCTAGCGTAAACCATAGTCGTCTCTTACTAACACTATCTATTTAATTAATATTATTTACTTTGTGGTGAGAGCCGTGGTAGCTCAGAAGGTTAACACTCGCTGTAAGTATAACAGAACGTTAGTAAACCTGGTTCGATCCCCGCCGGCACCAATGAAATTGTTCATTGCAATTTTAAGTGATGATTTACCACGTGCTCGGCGGTGAAGGGAAACACCGTGAGAAAACCTGCATGTCTGAGGAATAAGGAAAAAAATATATTTCGAAGACATGTAAAGTTCGCCAACACGCATTGGGGCAGCGCGGCGGACACTTCCTTGCCCTAAAACCAAGACCTCCCCTCAGAAATGAGGGCACAGGCCTCCCCCTCAGAAATGAGGGGAGGCCTGTGCTCGGCAGTGGGACGTATGTAGGCTGTAACTTTACTTTTTTTTTAGTAATATAACATATAAACACTCACGCCTGTCACCCAGAGGGGTAGGCAGAGACTACAGACTTCCATTTTGCACGATCCTGACACACCTCTCTCGCCTCCTTCACATCCATACACCTACGCATACATGCTCGTTGGTTAAGGGTACTCCTAATTTGGCCCGTTTTCAATAAATCGCCAATTTGGTCGATAAATTTTCGCCTAGGGCGTCTCCTTCCGACTCTGCCATTCACTTCTGCAACATAAATTTTCTTTGTCACTCTTTCCTCATTCATTCTTTCCACATGACCAAACCACCGAAGCATTCCTTTCTTAATCCAGGTCACAACATCATCTTGCAAACCACAGTCTTCTCTTATTACACAATTTCTTACCCTGTCATTCAGATTCAGCCCTAACATACTCCTTAACGACCGCATTTCTACTGCGTTCATTCTACTCTTGTGCTTCTTCTGCCACATCCAACTTTCACTACCATACGTTAAAGTAGGGACCAACACACCATTGTGAATTGCCATACGTGCCTTTTTCGACACATTTTGACTCTTCACAATAGAGTGTAGGGCCCCATTTACTCTATTTCCTGCATTATATATAATATAAATTTTATTAAACCTATTTTATATACAACAACCATAGAATCAAAATTTTACTGTTATTTTTCCCGGTGAAGGGAAATACCGTGAGGAAACCTGCATGTCTGAGGAATAAGGAAAAAAATACTTCGAAGACATGTGAAGTTCGCCAACACGCATTGGGGCAGCGCGGCGGACACTTCCTCGCCCCAAAACCCTCTCAGAAATGAGGGGTGGCTTGTGCCCAGCAGTGGGACGTATATAGGCTGTAACTTTACTTTAGTTTGTAGTGACAGTAAGTAATGACGATATATATAAAAAAGTTACGTATACGTAGTCTATCGTCATTACTTACTATGTCACTACCTCTATAGAGGGTATTCGCAGTAAAACCGGATAAATTTATATAGCCCAACGAATCAGTAAGCTGAAGTGGCAATGGGCCGATAATAAGCTCAAAGAACTGACAACAGATGGGAAAGAAAGATTCTCGAGTGGCAATCTCGCACTGCTGAGCGAAGTGTAGGGCTGCCACCCACTAAATAGTGACGACCTAGTAAGATATGCAAGAAGTCGATGGATTTAGCCGTCTCAGGACTGTACTCTGTGTCATTCATTGGAGGAGGCCTATGTTTAGCAGTGGAATTGTGAATTGTTGTAATGATAGTGTGTATAAGGTGACATTGGCACATCGCGGCGTTTTGTTTCAACTTTAAATTCTTTCATAAATTAGAGAAAACCTGTGCATTGCCTATACTTTATATATTAGCTGTTCTCCGCAATTTCGCCCGCGTGTAATTTAGGGCTATAATTTTGTTACGCGGAACTCTAATTATTTTTCTATAATAAAAGTAGCCTTAAGTTAATCCTTATAACATCAGTTATCTGTCAGTGTCCTGTACCGTCAAAATCGGTCCAGCCATTGATTTATGTAACACTAGATCAGTAATAACCGCGCCAAAGCGTTGCCACTGCACATATGGCCACAGCCATATGCCTAGATTCAGTAATGTACCCGACATAGTTGAGCCGCGAGAAAAATGGGTAAATGTGTAGTGAAATAATGCTATTCAAGGTCACAAAAACGTAATAAATCAAGCGGAATCACTTTCAACACATAATCTTTAGTTCTTGTTTTCATATAAACGTAAAATACCTCAAATAATTAAATAAAATTATCGAATATTGCCATTTAGGTTCAATGTTGCCACTTTTTCGCATTTGTGATTACCCTACATTAATGGGAGACTATATTAGGGTTCCGTAGTCAACTAGGAACCTTTATAGTTTCGCCATGTCTGTCTGTCCGTCTGTCCGTCCTCGCTTAATCTCTGTGACCGTTAGCACTAGAAAGCTGAAATTTGGTACCAATATGTGTATCAATCACGCCGACAAAGTGCTGAAATAAAAATTGGAAAAAAATGTTTTATTAGGGTAGCCCCCTATATGTAAAGTGGGAAGTGATTTTTTTTTTAATTTCAACCCTAACGTGTGATATATTGTTGGAAAGGTATTTAAAAATGAATAGGGGTTTACTAAAATCATTTTTTGATAATGTCAATAATTTCGGAAAAATCGCTCCAAAAGTAAAAAACAATGTGTCCCCCCACCTCTAACTTTTGAACCATAAGTTTAGAAAATATGAAAAAAATCTGAAAAGTAGAACTTTATAAGGACTTTCTAGGAAAATTATTTTGAACTTGGATGGAAACAACAGTACCCACTACCGGGACCAGTTGCAGGAGCGCGGGAGCGCGAACATAATGGATACCCACCTTTAAACTCATAAGTGGGAACACTTATTGTGACGGACGGGAAACTACGGAACCCTACACTGAGCGTGGCCCGACACGCTCTTGGCCGGTTTTTAATTAATGGAGTAAGCTAATTTGTTACCTCTGATTTTAAATATTTTGGAAATTATAATAAAAACTACGTTTTAACTTTCATACAAAATAATTAATTATTCTTATTTTAGTTTATTCATGAATTATCTATTAAATATATTTTATTACCTATTTTATATTGTTTAATTTATTAGTACCATAAAAATACGTTTTATTTCATCATTATGTTTACTTCTATTCATCTGATAAGCTTTGTATCCTTTTTTTTCTAAGGGACGTAATAAAGATTTTAAAATAAAATATACTTTTTTAATATAAAACCAATTAACTGCAGCTTAAAAAAACTCATTTTTATTGCGTATTTTAGGTAAAATTTCATATAGTAAGCCACCCACCATTGCGTGTTTGTGTTAGGGATGTTGCGCAAATGCGGAGCTTCCGCATAGATTTGGACTTCTGCATCCGCATCCGCATCCGCAATAATCAATGCGGATTTTCATGCGGATGCGAATGTAATACAAGACAAGAAATTGACAAGAAAGAAATGAGCGGGGCCAGCAATGGCGCGTGCCGTTTGCACGTGACAAATACCAATGGGATGGGAGCGAAAACATCGGTGGACAAGATCCGACGCGTTTCTTGTGGTGCATTGTTTGTTTATTGTAAATAAATCATAACGTGTTTGTTTGCGCTGTGGATTACTTGTTGTGTGGATCATTGTGTGTACTTAAATAATTGTTTATTGGGAAATCGTCAGGTAAATGCCATTATGTGACGTGTATACCGGTAATACGTTTTACTGTAGGTAAAGTTTATCATTTTAAAACTATTTTCTTTATTTATCTAGTGAGGTTCCCGTTATTGTTAAATTATCTAACAAGTTAATTAATAATGTCACCACTGGCGCAAAGTAATATATGGAATTATTTAGAACGAAATAAAGAGGACCTTGATAAGACTGATTGTAAAATATTCAATAAAAGCTACTCTCGCGAGGGCCGAACCACCTCGTCTTTGAAAATCATCTAAAGTCGATGCACCCAGAAGAATTTTCCAAATATGAGATCATGAGTAAAGAAAATCAATTACAGAAGATAAAACCTTCGCTATTTTAGCAAATATTTGGTCTAGAAATTTATCATAATATCATTATTTAAATAGGTAGTGATGTCTTTTTTTTAACATTTCTTTAGTCGCAGCTGTCTTGATACTTAATCAAATGCAAATTAAGAAATACTCGTTCCTTTCGCTTTTGGTTTCTTTGTAAATGTCGCTTAGTTATTTATTTTATTTTTGCATTAATTTAAATTTTATACTTATTAATTATGACTTGGACACTAAAAAGTTTTATATTTTTCATAAATTTTTATATTTGTGATAAATAATTAATAAAATATACACATTTTGCTATGATAATAATCATAATAGGTTTATATTGTAAAAGCGACCTCAAAAGAACTTTTTTTACGATTTGTTTACATTTAGATTTAGATTCGTCAAGTGAAGATGAGAGTCAAGAAGTACCAGGAAATGGTAGCACTGAAGCTGTACTCAAAAAGGAATTACTATCATACTGCGCTAAAAAAAGATTCAATGTGGATAAAAATCCTCTTAAGCGGTGGAGTATTCATCGAGAGGAATTTGAGATATTATCACCGATAGCACGAAGATTTTTATTCACTCCATCAGGCAGTGTTTCTAGCGAACAATTATTTAGTAGCGCAGGTTTAATTTACAAACCTCTACGTAACCTCCTTGAATCAGAAAAGCGGCAGTATAACCCGTTATTAAGTATTTTTAACTTCACTTACTAATATGAAAATTAGTAAGTGAAGTCAAAAAAATGTAGAAGCATTATACTTAATATTGATTTTCATTAATAAAAATGT